CTTTGTTATATTGCATGGCAACTTTTATTGTGAATATTCTCGTATGGTCGAGGCCTAAAATACACATGGTTCCAGAACATCTTTAACATGTTAGGCTTGTGCTTGTAAGAGAATGTAGTGCCACCGTGTTCACCTTACCACCAGGATGACATGACTCCTGGCCCTCACTGCTGTAGTGGTCGACCTGCAAGCTTGACCCGAGCGAGAGTTGGGCGGGCGCAAGAGGGTGCTGGCACGGCAGGGAGTATTGGATGATGGCAGCACGCTACAGACAGCACTGACAACCGCCCCAGTACTGATCCTGCCCGATCCAGATAAGGAGTACGATCATGGCCGCACTGCTCCAGCACGGATCAGTGCTGGGGTTGTTGAAGGATGGTGGTGGGGCGCTGGAACCTCGCTGGTCAGTGTGATGGAGTCCACCAGAACTGCCCTCTCTCCCTCTTTCCCTCCCTCCCTGACTACATCCCCTCTCCATCTCTGCCTACCCCTCCCCTCCACCTCGCAGCTACATTCAGGGGAACAACTTCTCTGGCCACCTCCCTCCCTCCATGGGAAACCTCACCAAGCTCTTTGGCCTGTATGGCGGAGTGTGGTGTATGGCGCAGTGTGATGTATGGCGTAGTGTGCTGTATGGCGCAGTGTGATGTATGGCGCAGTGTGATGTATGGCGCAGTGTGATGTATGGCGCAGTGTGATGTATGGCGTAGTGTGATGTATGGCGCAGTGTGATGTATGGCGCAGTGTGATGTATGGCGCAGTGTGATGTATGGCGCAGTGTGATGTATGGCGCAGTGTGATGTATGGCGCAGTGTGATGTATGGCGCAGTGTGATGTATGGCGCAGTGTGATGTATGGCGCAGTGTGATGTATGGCGTAGTGTGCTGTATGGCGCAGTGTGATGTATGGCGCAGTGTGATGTATGGCGCAGTGTGATGTATGGCGCAGTGTGATGTATGGCGCAGTGTGATGTATGGCGCAGTGTGATGTATGGCGTGATGCCACCCACAAAGAATGCGCCATTATCTACCATGACCAGAATGTTGCATGGTGTGCTCTCATATTATACTTCAACACACTTTTTTTTGCAAGCACTGTTCTTCTGCAATAGCACATCGTAACTTGAAATGTATTGCCATGGTTCGATGAGCATCTGTCTCGTCGTTCTGTTCGTCTGCAGGATTCTTAATGGCACGTCACTGACATGCCCGCCAAACAATGCCAACTGTGAGGTTGAGCAGCACCCTGACAGCGCCTTCTGCAAGACATGCCCCGCTTTCTGCTCCTCCTGTGTCGCAGCACCTGCAGGTATGGCAGCACCTGCAGGTATGGCAGCACCTGCAGGTATGGCAGCACCTGCAGGTATGGCAGCACCTGCAGGTATGGCAGCACCTGCAGGTATGGCAGCACCTCCTTGTATGACCTCTTTTTTATATCCTGCCCTGGAAGATTCGAGTGTCTTGTGGTTCGCATCATGCACAAACGCGCAGTAGTTCAATCAAGACGGCCAACCACTCATGCGTGCTGTGCTGTGCGGCTTGATGCTGTAATTGTGTGTGCGTGCATCATCTGCCTTCTACCTCCCCCCTCCACATGAGCACCTGCAGCACCCCCCTCAGCTGACACCCCAGCGCCCCCCACCACAACAGCTCCAGCGCCTCCCTCAGCCTCCACACCTCCAGCACCACCCATTAACACTGCACCCGCGCCTTCTCCATCGCAAGGGGGTCTGTCCACAGCTGCCATTGCCGGCATCGCTGTTGCTGCTGTGGCTGCCCTCCTGCTGGCAGTGCTGCTCGGTGCACTGCTGTGGCGGAGGCACAGCCAGGGAAAGGCATTCCCGAGGGCTGCCCCTGCAAGCAAGGAGGACTGCCAGGGTGTGACTTTCTCTCTAGCCCCTTCATCTCCTCTCTCCTCATTCAACCCTTCCCTCCCACCTCCGTAACTCGCTCTCTCTCTCTCTCTCTCTCTCTCTCTCTCTCTCTCTCTCTCTCTCTCTCTCTCTCTCTCTCTCTCTCCCCCCCCCCCCCCCCCCCCCTACTGCACCTTTTCTAATCATCCCGTCTTCCACTGATCCTGAACTGTCTATCCTTGTCTCTGCATCTACCTATTCACCCATCATATGTCTCATAGAATCCGTCCATGTATTCCCTCCGACTCCCATCCATTCGTTCTCAAACAAGCACGATATTCTATCCTTCCATCGTCTTCCCCCATTGTGGATCTGTCTAAAGGCTCCTTGCCTGAATCACTTTCCGCCTTTTTTTTGGTGAGCTATACCGAAGCCAAATTATGGTCTTCGTAATCCCATGACCACAACTCACACGTATACTCTTGCCATGCCATCCATCTAGTCCGTCTAACTCTACTCCAATGCACATGCCTCATGACCCCCTTCCACGTTGTCGCACACCCCCCACTAAAACACTCTCCAGCCATGGTCGCAGACAGCACAGAAGCAGCAGCGTCAGCAGCGGCGGCAGCAGCAGCAGCAGTAGGGAGTGAGAAGGAAGGGGTGGTGGTGGAGGTGGGGGCGGCGCGGGCGGATGTGTGTCGGGAATATTCCCTAGAGGACATGGCAGCAGCCACGGGGGAGTGGGCGGAGCGCAACAGGATTGGCAGCGGCAGCTTTGGCGACGTGTACAGAGGTGTGAACCCGCATGGTGGGAGCGAGGTGTGGGCGGTGAAGCGCGCTCGAGTGCTCACCAACGACTTCCAAAGAGAGGTGGCACTCGTGTGACTCTCGTGTGACTCTCGTGTGCCTCTCGTGTGCCTCTCGTGTGACTCTCGTGTGCCTCTCGTGTGCCTCTCGTGTGACTCTCGTGTGCCTCTCGTGTGACTCTCGTGTGACTCTCGTGTGCCTCTCGTGTGACTCTCGTGTGACTCTTGTGTGACTCTCGTGTGCCTCTCGTGTGCCTCTCGTGTGCCTCTCGTGTGCCTCTCGTGTGCCTCTCGTGTGCCTCTCATGTGCCTCTCGTGTGCTTCCCGTGTGCTGCCTGTGTGCTTCCTGAGTGCTCACCAACGACTTCCAGCGAGAGGTCACCCCTGAGCTTACTTGTGCTCCCCGTGTGCTCGTTGCAATTTCTCGTGCCACACCATTGTTTTCGGATAATAACGCCATCTACTTCCACTTGCACTTTTTGATTTGTTCCCGTCTCCCTTTGCAGGTGAGGGAGATGGCATCGAAGCACCACCCGAACCTGGTGCGGCTGCTGGGCTACTGCATCGCATTTGACGCGGCAACACGCACCATGGAGCAAATACTCGTGTACGAGTTCATGCCCAACCACGACCTCGATGCCTGGGTCGCACCCGGTGCCGCCACGCCTCTCTCCCTGCGCCAGCGAATGGACATTCTGATCGTTGTGGCCAAGGGGCTGCAGTACCTGCATGACTTTGGCATCGTGCATCGCGACATCAAGCCCGCCAACATCCTCCTCAGCGCCACCATGCAGGCATGCTTGCAGCAATCCCTGCTTGCTCCTCGCTCTCATGCTATCAACCTCCCTCGCACTTCGTTCCACCCTGCCTTATTCCTCAGTCATTCATTCTTGAATAAGCCACTGCTGCTCCTGCCGTTGTGCTGTGAGTGAGGGCTCCTGTGCAACCATTCATCATTGAATTGGCCACTGCTGCTCCTGCAGGCCAAGATTGCGGATTTCGGGCTGGTGAAGCTGAGTGGTGGCACGGCTGCGGGCACAACAGTGGCAGCCACTCGAGTGATGGGCACACCGGGCTTTGTGGACCCCGCCTACTGCAAGTCCCACAAGGCCACCCCCATGGCCGATGTGTACAGGTGAGGAGAGGCACCCCCTATGGCTCATGCACTGGGTGCAAAAAGATAACTGATGTGCGTCGGTGCAGACGAGGACATTGCAGATTGTAGAGCACGTGAGAGGGCAGTGAAACGTGACTAGGAGACCAAGTGCAAAGCGGATTGTCCGTGCCTTGTCATCGTCTTCACTGCTACGATTCTTCCAAAGTCTGATGTTGTTTGCTTTGTGATGGCAGCTTTGGGGTGGTGATGCTGGCGGTGATCACGGGACGCAAGGCAGTGCAAGAGGTAGAGGGCGGCCATGTGAACCTCAAGCAATGGGTGAGGCATGAGGGGAGCAATGGGTGAGGCATGAGGGGAGTAATGGGTGAGGCATGAGGGGAGTAATGGGTGAGGCATGAGGGGAGCAATGGGTGAGGCATGAGGGGAGTAATGGGTGAGGCATGAGGGGAGCAATGGGTGAGGCATGAGGGGAGTAATGGGTGAGGCATGAGGGGAGTAATGGGTGAGGCATGAGGGGAGCAATGGGTGAGGCATGAGGGGAGCAATGGGTGAGGCATGAGGGGAGCAATGGGTGAGGCATGAGGGGAGTAATGGGTGAGGCATGAGGGGAGCAATGGGTGAGGCATGAGGGGAGCAATGGGTGAGGCATGAGGGGAGCAATGGGTGAGGCATGAGGGGAGCAATGGGTGAGGCATGAGGGGAGTAATGGGTGAGGCATGAGGGGAGCAATGGGTGAGGCATGAGGGGAGCAATGGGTGAGGCATGAGGGGAGTAATGGGTGAGGCATGAGGGGAGCAATGGGTGAGGCATGAGGGGAGCAATGGGTGAGGCATGAGGGGAGCAATGGGTGAGGCATGAGGGGAGTAATGGGTGAGGCATGAGGGGAGCAATGGGTGAGGCATGAGGGGAGCAATGGGTGAGGCATGAGGGGAGCAATGGGTGAGGCATGAGGGGAGTAATGGGTGAGGCATGAGGGGAGCAATGGGTGAGGCATGAGGGGAGCAATGGGTGAGGCATGAGGGGAGCAATGGGTGAGGCATGAGGGGAGTAATGGGTGAGGCATGAGGGGAGCAATGGGTGAGGCATGAGGGGAGCAATGGGTGAGGCATGAGGGGAGCAATGGGTGAGGCATGAGGGGAGTAATGGGTGAGGCATGAGGGGAGCAATGGGTGAGGCATGAGGGGAGCAATGGGTGAGGCATGAGGGGAGCAATGGGTGAGGCATGAGGGGAGTAATGGGTGAGGCATGAGGGGAGCAATGGGTGAGGCATGAGGGGAGCAATGGGTGAGGCATGAGGGGGGCAATGATCGAGCTGAGTGCTGATGCTCTTCATAAGGCTGCCTGATATGATCAAGCTACCACGAACCCTCCACAGCATTGGAGCTGCATCTACAAAGTCTCCCTCCTCCTATGCGTGTAGGTGGAGCCACTGGTGGCATCCAATTCAGTCACGGCCTTCAGAGACCCTTTCTTGGACGCCCCGGATGACATTCTGCTGCGCCTGGCCCGCCTGGCTCTCTCGTGCACCGCCATGCCCACGGCCTCGCGCCCGTCTATGGGCAAGGTGCTGGGGGAGCTGGTGGCGATGAGGGGGGAGATAGTGGGCGAGGAGGTGGACAAGGTGGCGTCGCGCATCGACAGCGAGATTGACACGTCCACCGATCTCGACTTCAACGCTTCAATTGCCCGTGCCCACGAGATTGCCACGCAGAGCGGTTCCTCTGATACTGTGTGAGCTATGGTTTGACACTGCACACGTCAAGTATTCCTAGGTGTGTCTCGATTACAATTGGCAACAATCAGAATCTTTGGACGTGTCAATGGGGGGGCTGGTTGCTGTTTTCCATTGACTAAGAAACAATGTCATTTTCTAGCTTTCCAAGTTCTTGCAATCAGATGCCTTGGACAGAAGCTGCTCTGCATAAGTCACGACGAGAGATTTCTACGCATTCAATTGATGGGTTGGGTAGCTTCATTATCTATGCCAGGAGGTAAATTCAAAACGAGTCTTCATGCTCCATTGTACTTCAATAATGCATTGCTGACAAAAGACCAAGTTCTGCTCACGTGGGAGCAATACAACAGATGGCTGCTGTTCTTTGTTTGAAGAATAAAGCAGAGACCAAGATGTATTTGCCATGGACATAGAGTTATACAAACACAGATCTACCATGGAAGATCTCTTCCATCACATTGTACTCAAAGCTAACCAGTTTACCATACAAGCCTACGGCAGTTTTCCCAAATTATAGAGCGAGTTGATGTCACCTACGAAAAAGGCCGTCCACTAATGACACCTCCTCACATAAACTCTCGTATTTTACCATTTCCTCGCTCGATTTGGCCATTGTTTCATTGACAGTATAGCAAGATAGAAAAAGGACCAAGCTGCAGCGCTTTCAGGGAGATGGGTTGGGAATGGGGGAAAAGGGATGCAAGTCAAGTGGGTGCTTAAGTGCGTGCTGCTGCTTTGCTGCATGCAGCCGGTCCTCCTCTGGCATGCAGTGTGGGAGAGCAGGAGAGGATAAGGGAAAGGATACGCATGAGGAAGAGAGGTGTAAGTCAGGAGCATGCCGAAGCGCCTCCTCTTGGCCCCAGACCATCCTCCTGTGGGGCACGACTTTGTGAGAGGGATGACCGAGGGGCATGATGGTTTGAGGTGTTTTGGAAGGCACAGCGGTAAGTGCAGGAGATTTCAGAGAAATTACTAACTATATCATTCTTCCACATACCATTCACACACAAACCCCCAATTGCCCCCTTACGCCCATTCCCACCTGTCATCCTCACTCACTTGCTATCCTCCCTTCCCAAAAATCATCCCCACCCATCCCCAGTAATTCCCAATCCTCCCCATTCCCACGTACCGTGCATCACCTTCTGTTGCAGCTTCAGCAGCTGCTCGTCCGGGTCCTTGACCTCGCCCTCACGATCCCGCACCTGATAGGGGGGGAGGGGAAAGATGTGACACGGTGCGAGGCCATGGCATGTGGTGGATGTGTTGGGTGCTCGCTGTAAGCGTGTGTTGGGTGCATGGGCATGGTTAAGGTTCCTTGGTGCTTCACTGCTACGTCCAGATCATTGAATCTCGCCCTCACGCTCGTGCATCTGGTGGGGGGGAACATGGTGACTGCATAGCTATGGCACGTGGCGCATGGCTATGGCATGGGCGCATGGCTATGGCATGGGCGCATGGCTATGGCATGGGCGCATGGCTACGTCTGATGCATAATTATGGCATGTGGAGTATCATGGTGCACAAGACATGAGCATGGTGCGTGCACATGTCATAAGGCAAGCTCGTGGGACGTTACAGGGAAGGGGAGGGGAGCCTGTTTTTGAGAATTCTCAAAAAACACGCTCTACAGGGAAGGGAAGGGGGGCCTGTCCACAAGGGGAGCCTGTCCACAAGGGGAGCCTGTCCACAAGGGGAGCCTGTCCACAAGGGGGGCCTGTCCACAAGGGGGGCCTGTCCACATGTGTTTTGAGTCGACTCAAAACACACCACGTCACAGGGAAGGGAAGGGGGGCCTGTCCACACCACAGCAAGTTGTACGGAGGAAAGGCGATGGTTCTCCTACCAAAGGCTCAGCAGGTGCTTTTGGGGGAAGTGCACACACGATTGGGAATGGGGGGGAGAGGGGAAAGAGGAGGGGGAGGAGGTGAGGGAGGATTTGGAGAGGAAGAGGGGAGATGCTTGGGGATGCAAGTACACAGGTGCTACATACTGTTTACCTATGTCTGCCCATGCGCTCTTCTCTCTACTCACTCTACAATACCCTGTACCAGTAGCAATAGGATGTGCCTTCGTGACATCGCCGATCCATGCAGGTGGTCAGTCTCTGCTCTCTCCCTCCTCTCTGCTCTCAAGCTACTATGCCCTATCCATGTAACGGTGACACACAAATGTGTTTTGTTGGTGTTGCCCAGCTGCCGCTCCATGCTGAGAGCAATGCCTTCCTCTCCACATCCTTGCTCCGCCCCAATGATGCCCACATCTCGTGATTTTGTACTGCAGAAGTAGAGAAGTGGAGAGCATTGGGGAGGAGAGAGGATACCTGAGATGGGAGAAGGAACTGAAAAGACTCCAATAAGGGAGGTGGAAGTGCACCACAGTTCTATCGACTGCGATGTAGAGAGGAAAGACAAGTGAGGAGCAGGAGAAGGAGCAAGGGGGGGAGGTTTTAAAATCTCTTTTTGTTCGAATTGCTGCAGTGCAGAAGAGTGTAAGACGGTTTGGATTGGTAAGAACAGGCCATACTGCATGCAGGCATTTAGCACACACACGGAGACACTGGATATGGAGTGAGAAGGCATATCCTACTTCCACCAGCAAAAGAACCTGATCGCACCATGCCTCTCATCATCCCTCAAAATCGAACTCCCTCTCCCTACTCCAGCTCGCCCGCCCATACCCACGCACGAACAAGGCTTATCCCCAACTCATCCGCACACACTCTCATACCACACAACCATACCCCATCCCCACCTCACCTCAACCCCCTCCCAACCCTCCCCTTTCACCCCACCACACCCCCACCTCACCCCCATCTCACCCCCATCTCACCCCTGACCTCACCCTGACCACACTCCCACCTTACTAGATGCCTCTCGCAGTGCGCTGCCTCAGTCTCAAGGGCGCCCTGCTCCCACTGCACGGCCTGAACCCTCTCCTGCACTGCTCCCCCCTGCCCCTCGCCCCCACCCACTCCCTCTCCGCATGCAGCTGCTCCCCCTCTTGCAACTTTGAGTCGACGCTCGACACAAACACACATAGAAACGACACAGCGACACCGACACTCATGGAGTAGCGAGTGTTGGCGCAACATGCACTCACACACACACACGCAAGCACACGCGCGCGCGCACATGCACGCACGCACACACGCACGCGCGCGCGCGCGCGCACACACACACACACACAACAGGCCACATGCAGTGACGAATATCAAAAAATTGTTTTAAGCCGCCTCAAAGATGCATGCGAGCAGTGAGTACAGTTAAAGAGCAGCCTTAAAGGGCGAGTCCAGTTAAAGAGCAGCCTTAAAGGGCGAGTCCAGTTAAAGAGCAGCCCTAAAGGGCGAGTCTACTTAAAGAGCAGCCTTAAAGGGCGAGTCCAGTTAAAGAGCAGCCTTAAAGGGCGAGTCCAGTTAAAGAGCAGCCTTAAAGGGCGAGTCCAGTTAAAGAGCAGCCTTAAAGGGTGAGTCCAGTTAAAGAGCAGCCTTAAAGGGCGAGTCCAGTTAAAGAGCAGCCTTAAAGGGCGAGTCCAGTTAAAGAGCAGCATTAAAGGGCGAGTCCAGTTAAAGAGCAGCCTTAAAGTGCGAGTCCAGTTGAAGAGCAGCCTTAAAGGGCGAGTCCAGTTGAAGAGCAGCCTTATAGGGCGAGTCCAGTTAAAGGGTGAGTCCAGTCTGGAAGGCCCATTGGGAGAAGTGGGAGCGGTGGACGTGGTGCATGAAGGCGGAGAGACGGAGCCATTGTGGTGCGAGGCGAGTAAAGCCAGCGGTAGGTAGTGGTTGCCGTGCCGGGCATCCACAGATTCTCAACTCCCCACCCCTGCATCGCTTCGGCTTGCCAGTTCGCGTCTTGTCATCCGGCAGGGTGTTGTTCTAGGTTGTGTGGTGTGGTGTGGTATGGTGTGGTATAGTGTGGTGTGGTGCAGTGTGGTGTGGTGGGAACACAAAGGAGAGGGAGACGGAGAATCAAGAATAAGCAACTGCCAGTTACCCACAGATCCTCCACTTCCCGCCCCTCTGTATTACCTCCAATTGCAGCCCCCCCCCTTGAGATATGAGAATCTGCAGGGCATGATGGGACAAGGGCGAGGGAGGGACACTCGATAGGGGACAAGGTGTGGGAGGGATGATGCATGAGGTCGCACACCCATGCATGCACACGAAATGATCCACCCATCTGAGTCAACAGACACACATGCCAGCATGCATGCAGCGCACGGATCAAACGAGCTGTGACTGCTGGCTGAGGACACTGCTCACACACACGCACGCACACCCACACACGCATGCCAACATACAGCACAAACGGATTGACACCACACACAGGTGCAGCACTCACACTATGGGCTCTGATGGAATGGGCACTCCTGCAATGGGCTCTCACGGACGGTCACTCACGCGTGGGCACTCACGCATAGGCACTCACGCAAGGGCACATACTGATGCGCACTCACTGGTTGAGCGCGCTGCGCACCACTTGTGCCCCATTATACACCACCTGATTCAATTGGTGGATGACACCTAGGCACCTAGGCTCTGCAACTGTTGGGGGAGATGTGTGTGTGAGGGGGTAAGGATGACAGAATGAGAGGGGGAACACGAGGGAGTGGGAGGAAGTAAGAGGCGGGGAGAAAGGAGGGAAAGGGAAGGCGGGAGGAGGGGGAAGGAAAGACAGAAGAGGAAAGAAGGGATGACGAAGAAGATAAGAGAGGGGGAGAATGAGGGGGCAAGGCTTGAGAGGGTACATAGCACGTGATATCATTGACTGAGGCAGTACAAGGAGCGACTATCACATTACAGCTAGCACAGAACTGAATGCTGCATCTCAGAGCAGCAATAACATGTGCATCACCCACATTGGCATCCACCGCCTTGGGATGAACGTGGGGACCTACCCAGCTTCTCAAGACAAATGCTCAAATAACCTCCTCTGCCAAGCCGTGGTGCCTCAGTAGGTCTCGGACCTCGAGCACTGTGGTCACAACGGCCTGCCGTATAGAGCAGAAGAGTAGGAGGGCAGGAGAGCAGGAGGGCAGGAGAGCAGGAGGGAAAGAAATCAGAAGAGCAGGCGAGCAGGAGAGCATGAGAGCAGGCGAACACGAGTAGAGGATGAGAGGAGGAATAAAATACCATGGATTGAGAAAACAAGTTTGAGGAGTGAATGAGACATCCTCCTAACGCTACCTTTGTTGAGAGCCCAGGTAGTACCAGCTAGTCAAGAGTGAAACTGGCGTTTCGCATTTCAATGAGATCTTGGAATCTGAGAGCTCTCAAGTATGGTGGTTTAGGGAGGGAGGAGACAGGTAGTTGTTTAATCATTTGCAATAACCATTTGTTGCAACTAACAGTTATTGGAGGTTGGTCAAGTTGACAAAGGTCGAAGGAATCGACCTAAGTTGCCAAAAACGCTAGAGACCCTTTGCGTTTAGCGGATATACGCTGGCGTTTATACACTAAACGCTAAACACCAGCAAATACGCTACACGCTGGCAAATAGTTTTTTGGGGCAGCTTGACCTAAAAAAAACGTGGAATAACACCCTAGATTCCCCCCTATAATAGCCCTGGCGGTAGGAGAGTATTATGTAGTAATGTGTGTAGGAGTTGCAATCTGATTATGGGGTAAAAATATCACCTCTGAAACATAACACCCTAGATTCCCCCCTATAATAGCCCTGGCGGTTGTTTTTGCCCTGCCCAGGGACGTTTTTTCCCTGCCCGAAAAAGCGTACGTCCAAATCGCCCCGTAAGCGGATAGCTTATATACGCTAGCGTATATACGATACGCGTATATACGCTATAAGAGTATTTGGCAACTTAGGAATGGACCTGTCAACGAATTTCGGGACAGAGAGGTGGTTGTGAAAGGGCTTGCATGGATGTCAAGGTGGGGACTGATGATAGGGTGGCCAGCCGTTAGACTTTGCTTAGAAGCTTTTATCTGATCTAACGTGCATGCATATGATGGCAGTAGAGTGTGTGTGCTCTCCTGTGACCAGAAGCTTGACGAGCCAGCTTGTTGCCAACTCGCCACAAGCCAGACTGTAACAAACAAACAAGCTCGTGTATAGCACAAACTGCTATTGTTACCCTCAGAGAGCCAGATCTCTTGATGTTCTTTTGCTGGCAAACGCAAACCTAACCAGATTGCAGGCTCCAGTAGGCAACCTGGTTGCAGGATGGATACGGTAGACAAACTGAACCAAGCCTAGTTGCGATGCGACAAGAATTGGAGTGGATTGCATTGGACCACACATCAAATCAGTGAGTAGAAGGAAGAGACGGTGGGGGGGGGGGCTGATTTTTTTTTTTGGGTTTTGGAAGGGATGAAGAAGCCCAAGGAGACAAAGGAATGTCACCAACGCTGCACCAACAGTTTCTGTGTTTGCTGTTGCAACAGCAAACCGCCAAGGCAAGCGCTGTAAGTAATTGTGCTAGCACTGTTACTCCATGCATGCAGTCTTCCATTCAGCTACCCATGCTAGGCTCGATAGTATTCACGTACAGGCGAGTCAGGCTGGTGAGACTCCCCAACGACTCTGGAAGGGGTCCCCTAATAGTCATGTACGTCAGCACCCTGACATTGCAAATGTGGGTTGGCAATACGCGCGGGGAAGAATGGGTACATAAGGGGAATTTCACAGCGGCTCTTGCTTTTGCAGGCGGTCAATTTGACCAGAGAAGATGGACTTTATATGTTTCACTGATTCTCAATGTGAAAAACCACGCTTTCTACATTCACACGCTGCCACAACGCATTTCAAGCAACAGGCTCGGGTGGGTCCGTGTTGAAGCACGGTTGAGGTCAGTGTTGAAGCACGGCCTATGCCAAGCCCCATCCCGCAGCCCGTCACGTTTGAAGCCAGCTCTGTCCAGATCTGTGGCACAAACTGCCAACGAATCGAAAACTGATGTGCGACTGGAGTAAACCGTGTGTTGCAGGCTAATCATGGGCCGGCCACCGGCCTGTCGCAGGCCTATAACAGCCTGTGATAGCGGGTCCCAGCGGCTGGTCAAAGGTTGAAGTCCCCGGAGTGGAGCACAGCAACCGATGCAAAGCGATTGCGTGTGAGCTTGGTACTGAGGAAAAAACTTCGGTGACCAGTCCTAGGTTGGGGCTGGAGTGAGAAAAACTAGTCAAAGTCCAGCCCCCGGAGGGATGGTTGGTCGGTGCCAAGGATCAAAAATACGACCGAAATATTGATTTTAGGGCCGTATTATACGGTATCGTATTATACGGTCGTTTAAAACGGTTTAGTACGGTTAAATGTTATTTTTAAATTTCGATTAAAAATACGATCGTTTTTTTCGACCGAATTTTTAGAACGGAGAAAGTGTACACCGAATTTCAACAATCATCCCCGTCAAGTTCGTTTTGGGGGATTTCGTGAGAAGTCTTGTGAGTCTCGCTCGAATTTGGCCCGAGTCGCGCATGTCAGGAAAACGGCGTGGCGCGACATTTTGACATCTGACGAACGGTATAAAAGCGCTTGCCCGTTTCGCTGAGTCGTTTGAGTAGTTCGCCGAATCGCGACGACACCAAATTTCCGAGGCGCGGAAATGTACACCATTGGCGAACCCCTTGAACCTTGGTACCCGTTTCGCGGAGTCGTTAGCACAACTCGCGCGCTGGGTTTATTTTTCGCCCCCAATCCTGACGCCTCGCACAATTGCGCGCGACACAATTCCAGCCAATAGTAATACGCCAATCCATCTCCCATCTCACGTCATCCATTCTTCAAACATCCCTCGACAAAGTAGTACAAAGAGATACATATTGGAGGAGGAAAATCCCATTCGACACATCCTCTCTCTGGCTGCCGTATCTCAGAACAACAATCTCTGACCCACGCTTTCTCAGCATAGTCTAGTGGAACGCCATGGTGCGCCCCGCTTCTCAGTTTTGGGAGCACGTCATTAAGATTAAGGATGACGAAGGCAACGTAGTCGGTGCTACCTGCATTCATTGCAATAATCCTGTGATGGCTAATGCGACTAGGATAGGCGAGCACATGTTCGGCACTAACAAGAGGGACAAGAACGTTGCGATGTGCAAGTCGGACTACGCTAAGCAGCTGCGGGCGACAGCCGATCAGGAGCGCTCGACCACAGAAAATGCTACGGGAGGATCAACCCGTGCCTCCACGTCCTCGGTGGAGGCGCCGCCCGTGCGTCGCTCCCGGCAGCGAGATATCCGTGATATGACGGACCAAGTTGCGCATAATCGCCTTGATTACCTGTGGGCTGCTGCAGTTGCAGAGAACGACCTCGCCTTCAACGTCAGCAAGTCGAAATCGATCCAGGCGTTCGTTGACGCGGTGATCATGTACGCGAAACCGTACACCCTCCCAACCCCGTACAAGGTATCCGGCCCATTGCTGGACAAGCTGAAGGCGGACTCCGAGGACCTGCTGCGGCCGGTGAAGGAGAGCTGGAAGACCAGCGGGTGCTCGCTCTCCGTCGATGGATGGACGGACATCAAATCCCGCGGTTTTGTGTGTGTCATCGCGCAAAATGACACCGCACCCGTCATCGTCGACATCGTTGACTCGAAGACCGTAAAAAAAACCGGGGACTACTTGGCAACGCTTATTCAGGGAGCGATCACCATTGTGGGGCCGAAGCATGTCGTCCAAGTCGTGATGGATAACGCTTCGAACAACAAAAACGCCGCCAGCAAGCTAAGCGCGGATTATCCCCATATCTTCTTCACCAACTGCGCCGCCCACTGCCTCGACCTCATGCTGCACGACATCGGCAAGATCCCTGCGGTGAAACTCGTCCTTTCCCAAGTGCATCAGGTCGTGATGATGATCAAAGGCTCCGCCTCGGCCGTGGTCTTGTTCCGTGAGCTTTTTACCAAGCTCTCGTTGGTGCGGCCTGGTGCAACGAGATTTGGCACCCAGGTCATCATGCTCGGCAGGTTCCTTGAGGTGAAGCGCGCGTTGAGAGCGATGGTAATCAGCGAGGAATGGGAGGATGTAGCGGTGGCACGGACGGAGGAGGGGATGGAGGTTAGGAAGCTGCTTTTGGACGACGTTTTTTGGGACTGTGGGTCGGCCGTGCATCGCCTCATGACTCCCATCTACGAGGTTCTCCGCGCCGTCGACACACGGGCTCAAGTCATGGGGCAGCTGTACTGCCTCATGCTTGAAGCCACGGTGAAGACTAATGCGGCGGCTGAGACGGCTGGTGAGTGAGAGGGCTGAAAGTATTACGCGATGGGTATTGATTGTTAATCTCTCCACCCACCCGCTCATGCTTCCTATCTAATTAGTGCTCTTTATTCACTGTGAGCAGCCGCACACTTCATCAAGCGGACGGGTCTACTGTTGCCTAAGGACAGGAGCACTTTCCTCACCTCCATCAAGGCGATCATTGCCAGGAGGTGGGACGCACAACTGCACAACCCCCTGCATGCCATCGGTTGGCTCCTCAACCCCCGTAACCAGTACATTGGGGAGGTAAGGAATGACAAGGAGATTAGGAAGGAGGTGGATGAGGTAATCCAGGCCCGGGGCGGAGATGTGCAGCAGCGCATAACGCTAGCTGCACAGGTGGCTCAGTTTCACCGAGGGGAGGGCAGGTTGGGCTCTGACGATGCCCGTTGGGCAGCAACTACCTTGGTGGAGGCGGGGCGCATGACGGAGGCGGAATGGTGGTTCCTATTTGGTGGGGAGGTGCAGGCGCTCCAAGACCTGGCTGTGACGTCTTTGTCACAGCCAGTCACCTCCTCCGAAGTGGAGAGGTACTGGTCGGCGCTGGCACGTGTGCAGAGGCGCGACCGGAACCGCCTCACGGCGAAGAAGATGACTGACGTCACCTTCGTCGCCTTCACCCGGCGGGCCCGTGATGCCTTTGATCGAAAGGCAGCCCTGCGTTCCAAGCTCTATCAGGACCTGGGCAACGGCACCCTTAGGGAAGGGGCTGCCATCATCCCGGCCGAAGTGGAGGTGGAGGAAGGGGATGCGGAGGAGGAGGCACCCGTGGAGGAGGAATGCACCATTGATTGGTCGGAATTTGGGAGCATCGGCAAGAAGAGGAAAGGGAAGGCGGGTAAGTCATCTAAAGGGAAGAAGAGGGGGAAGGGCAACGGTGCATGCAAGGGAAAGGGGAAAGGAAAAGCAGGGGATGCGGAGGAGGAAGAGGAGGCGGAAGAGAGCGGTGGGGAGGAGGAAGAGCCTGCCCTAAATCCCAAGGGGCGATATGCCTGGGATTGCAGCGACGGTTCAAGTGGGGAGGAGGAGGAGGAGGAAGAGGATGACGAGGAGTATGACGGTTAGAGTGGGGAGGGAGGAGGAAGAGGATGACGAGGTGGTGGAGTAGAAGAATAGAAGGCAGCAGGGTGAGTATAGTGGGGTGGGGATGGACTTAGGAGGAGATATAGGCTAAAGGCCGGTACTTGCCTAGGTATGCATAGGGGTAGCGGCAGAATTAGTGGACCTTAGCATGCCTGTTTCTCCTTATTGTAGGTTGTTATCGGTTTCCTAGTCTTTGTTGTAGCCATTTCAGTAGATTCTGGAAAAAATCCGACTCAAAAAGGGCCAACAAAAAAACGACAATTTTTTTTGGAAAACCGAACGTATTATACCATCGAAAAAAACGCCCCGTATAATATGATAGCCGTATTTTTTATCCTTGGTCGGTGCTGAAGGGTCTGGGTCCAGTTCGAGTGCCTAACCCAATGCATACCCCATGCTTCGCTCGCATGCCCCATGCTTCCCACCCATCCCATACCCTACTATACTTCACTCCATACCCCATGCTTCGCTCCCATACCCCATGCTTCACTTCCATACCCCATGCTTCGCTCCCATACCCCATGCTTCGCTCCCATACCCCATGCTTCGTTCCCATACCCCATGCTTTGCTCCCGTGCGTCACCTACATTGCATCGATCATGCCTTGCGCGTTGCACGTGATGTTCTGTGCATGTGGCGTCGGCCCATACGGCCCACACATGGCTCCTGCCTGCCACCCCTCGAACGTCCTCCCCCACGCCTCCTGCAGCACTGGCACTGGGCGCCGCAAGTTCGAAAGGCGCACCCAAGTGAGGGCGCAGCAGACGGGTGAGGGCAGGAGCCAGGCAGGGGCAGCAGAGAGGGTGGCAGGCAGCAGAGAGGGTGGTGGGCAGCAGAGAGGGTGGTGGGCAGCAGAGAGGGAGGTGGGCAGCAGAGAGGGGTGGACGGAGAGTTCGATAAGGATAAAATATCGTGGAGAAGACGAGGGGAGGGGAATGGGTGGAGCAACAATAAACCCATGAGCAGGAAGGGGTTGAAAACGGGAGGGAAGGGGGCAAGGGAGGGGGGAGGGGGGAGAAAAACCAGAGAAAGAGAGGGAAGCGAGAGACAGGATGTAACGAATGAGAGTCATGCAATGAGATGCACCCACGTCCCTCGCAACACAACCCTAGCCCACTACACCGCCCCTGACTGTCGCTCCGCTTTTCAGATGCAAATGCGCTCCACGCCACAATAAGCCGAGCACACACTGGAAATGCAAACGGGAGGAAATCGACAGCCCGTAGGGGGACGGAGGGAAGCGAGCCTGAAGCTGTGCCGTGGCGTTGCGGAGGTGGGCGACATGGTGCGAGGCACGGCGAAATGGTTGTAACATAGTGCGACACCATGATGGTGACAGGAGGGACGAGAGACTGAAACGGAGGCGAAATAACGGACCTTGGGAGGGATCTATGACGGACTGGAGAGTCAGCAAAACACATGAGGAGGCACAGCGTGAGCGCGCCGCCGCTTAGTTAACGTCTGAAGCAGCCCATCAGTAGGCCCCGTCGAACAGCCGCGACGCACCAACTGCGCCTTCGCAACCCTAACGCAAACCTTGCACAAACGAAAAATGCTTCGATCAGGGCGAGTCATTGTTTCTGTTTCACGGAAATTACATCAGTACAACTAAGTCAGGACGCTTCGGATGACAAACATCCAAACCAAGTGTTGTGAATGGCACGCTCTTCACGTGCCACGCTACTGTGCCACTCCAACCCCTTCCCCTCAAAACACCCTCGACACATTTTCCCAAGAACCCATCCAAACCACTCAACTCTTCCAAAGCCTATTCCAACCACTCAAGTTACAAACTCCTTTTTCCAACTCATCCTCTCCAACTCAAGCCTATCAACCACCTCTTTAACTACTCCCAACCACCATAGACTTTCCTAGTCCAACTCAACCAATATTCAAACCAACTTCCCATACTCATCCTCAAGTCCCACCATAAGGCATATGACTCCTCATGATTTTCCATGTGCTTTCCTTTCCTACTCATCAAAGTTTACCCAAGTCATCTACCTCCTCCAATTATCCTCCTCCCATGTGCCTTCAAGCACATGCTTCCACTTCCTAGTCATCAACCTCCACATGCCTCTCATTTATTCCTTCCTTCCTTCCTTTCCCAAGTCACCAAAGTTGCCACCTCATCCCTAAGGACTTCATGATTATCCCATCACCTCCTATTACAAGGCAACAAAGCTCATCATCTCCTCCACTCATCCTTATCCAACTCACTAAGCTCTCTTCCAACTCAACAAGGCTTACATCTCCAACTCATCAAGTGCTCAACCACCATCACATGCTCCAATACTATTCATCTACATCAAGCATCTCTACAAATTCTCAAGAAGGTTCTTCAATGACAACAATGCATTCCAAGCTTCTTCACCAAGCTCATTTCCAAGCTTCTCCTTCAAGCTCCTCTTCTACTACAAAGGCTCCTCACTAGCAACCAAGTTCTATGTCTCCAAAAGTTGATACTCTCATGCAACTCTCTTCCAAGGCTACCATTGATGGTTACTCTCTCTATGCATGCCTATGTATTCCTCATGGATCTATAAGGCTTGTACTATACCTCTTTCAATATAAGTTTATGCTCAAAAAGTGTCTCTCATTAGTCTACAAAGTTAAGCATCAAGTGAAGAGTAGTCACCTCATACTCTACTTGAGTATAAGGTTCATTACTTCCTACAAGCTTGAGGAAGGATCATCACCCAACACCAAGCTTGATGTTCTTCTTCAAGTAAAGCTCTCAAGACCAAGCCATTCCTACAAGTCACCTCTACAACTATCCCTAGTAAGATTCATTAAAGTAAGTGCTTATCACCTCTCTTATTCTCTCAACAAGCTCATACTCTCTTTCTCCTTTTTTGAGTTCTTATCTCATCAAGCATTCCACCTTACACAAGTTTCTCTTTACAGTCACAAGTTCTAAGTATCATCTTCTCTTCTATCAAGCTCATCCTCATTTGCTACAATTCCACTGTTCACTCTTGTCTTATTCTATTGTGCAATCATACTCTTTTATCCTTATCTCAATTTATCTACTGGTATCAGAGCATTTACTTCCTCGCTTTCGCTAAAAATCCCCTCAAGAAAGAACCTTCTCTCTTGTCATTCTCCATGACTCCCACCCCTAAGGGCTCTAAGCCAAAGAGTGCCACTTCGCAAGGAGAATCAAGCTCCTCCGAAGTAAGCGGCAACACAGGAGGAAAAGACACCTCATCATCTCCTACTCTCCCCTCTCCTATTTACACCCAAATGTCTACCCCCTCTTCTCTAACCCCCAAGCTAGAAGTGCCACGGTTCAATGGAAAGGACTTCCAAGCGTGGAAAATTCGTTTCCAATTGGCCTCCACTCTCCTAGAGTGGTGGCCCGTTTACTCCGGTTCTCTCTCTCCTCCTTCCTCCGAAGCCCCTCCCACAGAGCAAACCGCGTGGATCAAGAATAATGCCGAAGCCTACCTCTACCTCCTCAACTCCGTCCAAGATCAATATGCCAAGTCATTACTCACGTGCGCGAGTCATCCCGATAGTGCCAAGCGCGCATGGGAGAGGCTCACACGACTTCATCAACCTCGCACCGAGAGCACCAAGGCGGAAATGTGGGGCAAGATCTCCAACTTGCGGATGGAGCAAAAGGAGACGATTCCCGAGTACTTGGAGCGCGCGGAGATTCTACTCAACGATGCCGACGTCATTGAAGTCACCGTTCCCGAGGAGCTCTTCATCTCCATTCTCCTCGCGGGGCTTTCATCGGAATGGATTCAAATGCGGAGCACAATACAAGCTTTTCCCGAGAAGCAACGCGCGACTTCATCTTCAACACCCTAATCAACGAGCATCAAACACGCGAGCTTGCTAAGTCAAAGGAGGAGAACAACAAACCGGCATGGTCGGCCGCCGTTTCTACTCAAGGTCACGGCAACACCACCACCAACAACAACTACTTCAACAACAACAAAGGTAAGAACCAACGACAAGCAAGTAAGTCCTCTAACCCATCTCTCCTTGGTCGCTACCCGTCAACAAGTTCCTCATCCAATCAACCCTTCTCATCTAATCCCTCTCAAACCGCTAAGCCCCAATCGGGGAAGTTCAATTTTACTTGTCATTTTTGTCACCAATGGGGGCATCCATGGTTTAAGTGCCCTCGTAAACCTCCCAATTGGACCCCTCCGCCTCATCTTCTTACCGCTAAGGGCCGAGCCGCCCTATCATATGCAGTGAGCTCTCAAAATGAGCCTCAACAATTCCCTTTAGCTCAACCTCAATCCTCCCAATTCTACCCAAGTCAATCTTATACCTTTCCCTATTACCCCATGCAACCAATGCCTATGTTTTACACTTCTCCACTACAAGGCTTTGCGCCTTCATTGCCATATCCAGGAGTTGACCTTAAAAAACGCGAAGCGCGTGCTATGCAGAATTCCTTCCGACGCTTATGTGAAAACAACGCCGTGCGAGAGCGGTAGCGGTGCCTACACCACTCACAGGCGTACAGGGCCGATTGCCGGGGCATTTGAAACCCCAGGAGAAGGATTGCATGAGGATACCGAGGTTGTTGTTGGTACCGAGGTTGCATGAGGATACCGAGGTTGCCCTTGGCGAGACAGTACCATGTTCTTCTAACGCGTGATGTACCAGATTTATAATTCGTCATATGAACTACGTAGGCATGGCTCTGGTACGACAAGTACGTGAAGAGCAAAGTGTAGGGCTCCTTCAGAGGATATCAAAACGAATCCCGATTTGTGACAAGCTCGCGTGGCATTGGTCGCCGGAGTTTCCAACCAGGACGGGGGGCCAAACTCCCTAGGATGCCGTCAGGCCTTTGACTACGATTGGCCGGTAACGAGATGAGGCGGATCTCCCCAACGCATGCCAGTTAATAGAAGCATGACAATGACACGGATAGCCTGGCCAAAGACGCTGACTTGGATAGGGGTGAGAGCGAGGGTTGCGAAACAGACCAACCGCGATACGTTACCGTGCTCATGCGTTTTCGAGCATTTCGCCATTTCGTCGAAAATCCAAGCCGCTATTATCCAAATGCAAGAGCTGCTATGTCAATGCCAAGTCCAGGCAATGTCTCTCATTTTGTCAGACTTTCGCAAAATTGGAGTGTCGCTTATTCTGGACATGGCGTCCGAGATTCCCAAAGGTGCTGGTACGGGAGGCCGTGGTTGGCGCAGCGCAAGGGATGAAAGTCGCCGATATGAATCAACAAGATACGCCGGGCCCAGGTGGCTAAGGGAGCGCAACTATCACACCCGCCTGCCTTCAGTGGCTGTCCTTGTTCGCGACTTCCCGGAGGTTGCGGCAGTGCTGATGCAACACGAATTCACGCGCATCATCGATAATGGTGACGATCCATCACCGCGTAAGCTGACGAGCAGCGTCAAACATCTGGTACCGTCCCGTCATACCCGTGCTGCTACTCAGAGGGGTGGAGCCGTAGATGCGCTGCGAGCTGCACGAGGCGGCGGACACGGTGTTTCGCTGTCCTTCATCGACAACGCATGCATTCTGGCCGTGTTGCGCGATGCTCGTGACGCCGCAGCCGTCCACTCGCTGGCTGATGCGTTCTTGCGCGTGGTTCGAGGTGGACACCGGAAGGTTAATTACAACGCGACTTGCCTGCACGATCTTGAATCGGCACGGCCGATAGTGCATGATAATCAAACCTACCTCATGCACTTCACAATGAGCGAAGGGTGGGTGGTGAGTATCTCACCTCGTCATTCTACAGTATATGTGTCGAGCGCCTCTGACACATCCTTATGTGTACTTGTGCAGCTCGAGAATGGCCGCTACAACTTCTATCGCGCAGAGGATGCGAGGCGCGTCTACTGTCAATTAAAGATAAAACAGCCAAAGCTCTACCAATACCGTCAATTTTCACATGTTGGCGGCTCGGACGGCATTGGCGCAGGCATTTTGGCGCACGCACTGGGCATGCTTGCCTGGTGGGAGATTCCAGCAGTAGATAGGTTGTTTTGGGATGGGAACATGGGGAAGAACATGTGCGTGTATCCATGGGACATTCCATCAGGCGTAACAGAGCTGCCATTGTATCGGCTAGTGTGTCAGGACTACGACCTTAATCGCCCTGATGATGATCTGCCAGACTTTACCTCTGAGCTAGACAGGGAAAGCTCAGAGTTGTGTGTTTCATGTGCTAGCTTATTACTTCGGATTCCAGTGTTTGTTTGTTTGCGCATGTAAAAACGGTTTTATTACTCAGCCGTACGGCAGGCATGGAATGCGAACACTCTACCCTTGGCCGCCGGCAAAGAACGGGACAATCACAGGCACGACATTCTTCACTTATCCTCACTCTTTGGTCTACCGCGCCTTGCCGGTAGGCCATGCCGGATTGGCTGCTTACACGGCGTTCAAGCCGTATGGCATGATCGGACCCCATCTGACGCGTCAAAATGTATGTTGAGCACACGCGTGGGGACGACGCGCATTTCTTTCCCGCGCAATCTCCTATCCAACCGGCAATCATAGCTGGGTGACATCGTTGTGTCTGCACGGGGTTTATTTTGCTTGGCTGTCAAAGATATTCTCACCTGGCGTCCATGATGAATGACGTAGACAGCATCCGGCTTCCCCATTGGCGCGATAGGATATTTTGCAGAGATGATGCTGACAGCTAGATGCGGGATGTCAGGCCGCAACATTATCCGAAAGACGCCCCGGTGAAGGATGTATTATTATATTAGGGAACCATTGTATTACACTTTCATAAGTTACGGTACCACTACTACTCGGACCCACCACAGTTCATCATGGACCCTGCACCGTCTCCGTACTCACCTCTCAGGCGCTCTGGCAGGAGCAATGCCGGCGTGCGGAACTCCACTGACGACATGGTGTACTATGGCCGTGGAACGCAATCCCCCCCGCGCTGACGGACGTCCGGGTCGCGCTCCATCTGCCTCTGAAGACACGATGCCTGTCAACAAGTCGCGTGCGGAAACAGAGACCGAGTACCTCCAGTGGGCGGACCGCCAGGACGACCGCCTGGATGTGGATGATGATGACGACATGGAGGATACCTGGATGCCAGAAGATGAACCTGTTGATGAGGAGGTGGAAGGTAAACAATTTATTGGCTTCCCTGCTTGTGCGTGCGTGTTACCGTTTTGTGCCAGGTCAGTATCCTTTGCGCTGATTCGGCTGTGGTCGTTTACCCTATCGCGCTGCAGCTGATGGGCGCGAGCACCGCTCGCTGTCAGAGGTGATGGCGTCCTCAAGCCAGGCAACTGCAGGCGAGCAACGTCCGCGTGGGCGAGGGCAGACTACCAACCGTCACACTGCTAGCACCACCAACGCGCCAACGACGGCTGATGTCTCGATCGATGCTGCGATCGCCGCCCGGATCGCGGAGCAGGAACGTCGTATTCACGAGCTGAACCAGACCATTGCCGGGCTCGAGAGGAATCCCGGGCCGGTCAAGTACCCTTCCCGTCCACGTGTCACGCCTCGGGCCGTTCGCGCACGTGAAGCGCCATTGGACGAGCCCGCACCAGTGCGCCAGCGCACAGCTGCGGCCCGCGCCGCCGGGCGGAAAGCAAAGGTAACTGGCGAGGCAAGGGCGCCGATGGTGGAGGCAGCTCTCGCCAGGGAGATTTGACTTGCCAACACGGGGGGTCGAGCCACTCCTGGTCTGGTCAACTGGGCCGACCGACTTCAGGAGTGCCACGTGTTTTTCCCGAACATGGACGACGGGTGGAAGGTTAGTGCGTGTGCAATACGGGGTTCCTCTATTCTAAAAAGGGTGCGCCTCTGTGGATGGCAGCTATGTTCTGATATCTATGCTCCTGCTCGTTCTCGCTTGCCCTTGTATCCCAGGATGCGGTCGAGGACCTGATTAAGATTCTGACATACGACACGTCAGTCGCCCAGCTCACGTTTTGGATGCCGCCCGCGCTACTTGAGCGTCTCTTGGCGCGCGCGCTGCAGATCACTAGCCAGGCTCACCGCACCATGCTCCATATGCTGCTGGCGCACGACGAGAAGCGTGCCGGGTGGATTACGCGCCGAATGCAAGTATGGCGCAACACTAAATGGGAGCAGGGACGAGCTTACGTGTACATCCTGCATGGAGTACCGTATAACGCTGGCTCCAACCCCCGCATCTCCCTGCCAGCAACCCCAAGCGCAACCGAGGTGCCTCGCATCACGCGCAAGCAGTTCATAGAGCACCACCCTACTGGTGAGCGATGGTCCAGTTGATTGCATTAGCCGTATTCCAGGCATGCCTTTTTCTAACCGCCGTGATTTGTGTGTGTTTCCTGATTCAGGCAATGAGACGTTCGAGCTACACCCCTGGCATTGTAACGCGGCTGGCATACCGTTTGCTACGGAAAAGTTTGAACGCTCGATTTTTGCTTCGTTTCGGCGCCTGGTTCCGCCGCCGCTGATCCTGCGCACCTATCACGTCGCATTTTGGCTGTTCGGGGTATGTGCTCGCTGAGAGCACTAATCAGATGGTGTTATACCAAGCGTGTGTGCTATGTTTATGCGTGCTGGTTTGTGCAGGTTGAGTTTCCGCTTGTCAGCGGCGGGACTATGAAGCGCAGCGCACCCCAGAACGAGGAGGGTGTGCGCTGGTATCATGAGCGAGTCAAGCGCTGGATGCACAGCGTGATACTAGGCCGCACCACCGAGCATGGCCCGTTTTGGGATTCCGAGCGGCGCAGTTGGAGCTTTCGCCGCGACAGCGTCCTTTGCATTCTCGAGGACGGGATGGAGCACCTTGTCAGAACATTATAGCTTATACATCTGTGTAGGCTGTAGTGGGGTTAGTATTTGTACCCAGCTGTTTCATAGTTCAATCATTCTCTCGTTCTAATCTTCACATGGTATAGAGCTGGTTCCCTCGTGGGAACTGTTCCTAGGGCCCACCGATCTTTTTTTTTCCTGCCCGGAGCGCGCTTGGCCCCTGCGCGAGTCGCGCCCTGTGTCGTTCCCCCTCTTAGGGCCCCTAACGGCCCCTCTTACGGCCCCTAACGGCCCCGTCGCGCCGCCCTTGCGGCCCCGTGGCGCCGCCCCTGCGGCCCCGTCGCGCCGCCCTTTAAGCGGCCCCGTCGCCGCCCTTAGGTGGCCCTGTCGCCGCCCTTTCAGTGGCCCCGTCGCAGCCCCTAACTGCGGCCCCGTTGCCACCCTTCAGCGGCCCCGTTGCCGCCCTTCCGCGGCCCCGTCGCCGCCTTTCAGCGGCCCCGTCGCCGCCCACCCCTTCCGCGGCCCTATCGCCGCCCTTTCAGCGGCCCTGTCGCCGCCCTTCCGCGGCCCCGTCGCCGCCCTTTCAGCGGTCCCGTCGCCGCCCTTCAGCGGCCCCGTCGCCGCCTTTCAGCGGCCCCGTCGCCGCCCTTCCACGGCCCTGTCGCCGCCCTTTCAGCGGCCCCGTCGCCGCCCCTACCTGCGGCCCCGTCGCTGCCCTTCAGCGGCCTCGTCGCCGCCCTTCCGCGGACCTGTCGCCGCCCTTTCAGCGGCCCTGTTCCCGCCCTTCCGCGGCCCCGTCAACGCCCTTTCAGCGGCCCCGTCGCCGCCCTACAGCGGCCCCGTCGCCGCCTTTCAGCGGCCCCGTCGCCGCCCTTCTGCGGCTCTGTTGCCGCCCTTTCATCGGCCCCGTCGCTGCCCCTACCTGCGGCCTGACGCCGCCCTTCAGCGGCCCCGTCGCCGCCCTTCCACGGCCCCGTCGCCGCCCTTTCAGCGGCCCCGTCGCCGCCCTTCAGCGGCCCCGCCGAGCCGCCTTTGCTGCCGAGCTGCCAAGCCGCTGCGCCGCCGAGCCACCGAGCCGCTGATCCGCCGAGCCGCCTGTGCTGCCGAGCTGCCAAGCCGCCTTTGCCGACGAGCCGCCTTTGCCGCCGAGCCGCCGAGCCGCACTACAGCCGAGGCGCCGCCACCTGTCGGCCAGCCCGGGTCCGCCTCACTTACCTAGTAAGAGCAGCGCCTCTGCCACTGCACTGCCCTGCCCCTCTGTACTCACTGCCTGTCTACTGCTGTCATGGCCTCCCCTAGTGTTCTCACCTTAGACGCTAAGGGTTGGGCAGTTGACTTTGAGGTCAGGGTAGATGATCTGCAGCTTTTCCTACTGTGCGATAGGGCAGACGGTCTCTCCCTGTTTGACCTCACTTCTTGTGCCTCTCCTGCCCCTGCTGCTGATGCTGACGCCACTGTTCGCTCACAGTGGGCCACGCGTGATGCTGCTGCTCGCCTTGCTGTGCGCCGCCACTTACCGACCACTGAGCGTGCACACTTTAGCCAGTACAAGAGTGCTCAGACCTTGTACAACGCTGTAGTTGCACGCTACTCTTCCCTTGCCACTGCTGCACTGAGCCGCCTCATGCTACCGTACCTCTTCCCTTACCTTTCTGCCTTTCCCACAGTCGCTGACCTCATTACGCACCTTCGCACTAGTGACACTCGCTACCGCGCTGCGCTTCCTGCTGAGTTCTGCGCTAAGAACCCCCCCCCCCATGTACATCACCCTCTACTACATAGTCACTCGGCTCCCTGACTCTCTCCGCGTAGTCAGGGACCACTTCCTCTCAGTTTGCCCCACCACCCTCACCGTTGACCTCCTCGAGAAGGCCCTCCTAGAAGCAGAGAAGAGAATAGTCGCTATAGGAGCCTCTCGTGGTGACCCTCGCACCCCCGTCTTTGAGGTGTGTTCTCCCTTCCCCTCTTGCCCTCTGTTGCCTCTACTTCTGCAGCCGACCTCGTTCGTTTCGAGTCGGTCGGCGCTGCGTCTGCCCCGAGCGGGAGACGCCGCACCGGCAAGGGCGAGGGGGGCAAGGGCGCGGGAGGGGCTGGTGGGGGCGGTGGAGGTGGTGGTGGAGGCAATGGAGGGAGTGGGGGTGGTGGTGGGAGTGGTGCCGGGGGTGGCGGCGGCGGCGGCAGCAGTGGAGGCGGCGGAGGCGGCGGTGGTGGCGGAGGGAGCGGAGGCGGCGGGGGTGGCGGAGGAGGCGGAGGTGGAGGAGGCGGCGGAGGCGGCGGCGGCGGAGGTGGCGGTGGTGGAGCGGGTCGCGACTCTGCGCAGAGGAGTGGGGCAGGTAATGGTCCGCGCCAGAAGCAGCGGAGTGGTGTGACCCTGTCCCCTCAGCAGCTTCGTGAGTGGTACACTGCGCCCCAACGCAGCGCGGGGGGGGTTTTGGTCCCTGCACTTACGTCCTCCGTACCGGTGACCGAGCTGGTGAGCAGTGCGAGGGCCCGCACTCCACCAAGCGCTGCTTCAGTCGCCTAACAAACACGTGGCGTCGCCAGTTCCCTGAGGCGTCAGAGATCCCTCGCTGGGGAGATCTGTCTAGGGCGGGGGTTGCCGTCTTTGATCTTGACTATGATGCTATCCTTGCTGCCATGTATTCTATGACTATTAGTGTTGAGGGTGACTAATACCTGTGTGTACCGCCTGACCCGGGAATTGAGGCCACTGCTCTAGGTGCTGGTGAGGCTGCTGCTCTAGGTGCTAGTGCGTCTGCTGCCCCAGGTGCCAGTGCGTCTGCTGCACCACCAGGTGCCAGTGCGTCTGCTGCCCCAGGTGCTGGTGAGTCTGCTCTCTCAGGTACTACGTCGGCTCAGGCCTTCCACACCTTCACCCTTGACTCGGGTGCGTCCCGCTCCTTCTTTCGAGACCGCACCACTCTTACGCCGCTCAGTCGGCCGGTTGCAGTCTCCCTGGCGGACCCCTCTGGGGGTCCTGTCCTTGCTAGCTTCTCCACTGTCTTACCGTGCTTGGCAACCCCCTCTAGCACCGTGTCAGGTCTCTACCTCCCCTCGTTCTCTACGAACTTGGTGAGTGGAGCGGACCTACAGGATAGGGGGGTTGACCAGTTCACTCTTGCGAGTCAGCGAGTGACCCACTGCACGTGTGCTCGGACAGGCCGACACTTGGCCACGTTCACTCGTCGGCCAGGGTCGAGCGTGTACACCCTTACCACTGAGTCTCCTCCGGCTACTTAGTCTGGCCAGGTAGCTGCGTGGAGTCAGGTGTTTGCTGCAGCGTCCGGGTCTGGTCCTGAGTCTGCTCCCTGCTCGTGTCGTCTCCTGTCCCACCAGACTCTCCTCTGGCACCACCGCCTTGGTCACCCCTCCCTGCCTCGTCTCCGAGGCACGGCCTCCCGTGTCCTTGTCTCTGGTCTCCCTCGGTCTCTCCCTCCCCTACCTCCGGGGCCTGGCCCTACCTTCGTCCCCTACGTCGAGGGGCGACAGCGCGCCGCCCCTCCCTCCTCCGAGTTTCCTCCGACAGAGGCTCCGCTAAAGACCCTCCACATGGACGTGTGGGGCCCCGCCCGCGTCCGTGGACAGGGGCACGAGCGTTACTTCCTGTTGTTGGTTGACGACTACTCGCGTTACACCACAGTCTTTCCCTTGCGCAGCAAGGGTGGCGTCATTGAGGTGTTGATCGACTGGATCCGCGCAGCTCGTCTCTAGCCGAGAGAGAGTTTCGGCTCGGACTTTCCTGTTCTGCGTCTGCACTTTGACAGAGGCGGGGAGTTTTCCTCTGCCCGTCTGGGAGCCTTCTGTCGTGCACAGGGCATTCGCCAGACCTTCACGCTTCCGGCCTCTCCACAACAAAATGGGATTGCTGAGCCCCGCATTGGCATGGTCATGGACGTCGCTCGTACGTCC